TGCCCCGCGGTGTAACTCCGCTCGGGCTGCACCTGCCAGCCCGTACGTGGGCAGCAGCTCTGTCAGCGTGGGGCCCGCTCGCACCAGTAACCACAGCTACCAGTGGGCTGTGACTCCCACAGCCCCGTTCCATAACCATCCTTCGGTTGTGGCTCACGTGTGTGTGCACGCACGCGTTTGTGTAGTTCCTTCAACGTTGCACTCGAGCTTCTTTACGTTTACGTGTTTCTTACTGTCCCAGTTAATTAGTGCTCTTTGACGTGGCACGTTGCACGGGCACGTTGGTCCTCGGGTGGCTGACTCCCCACCCCACGTGCGGTCCAGCCCCGCACACGCCACTGGCACGACTGCAGTAGCCAAACACGGTGTTTCTCTGGCCTGCAGAATGTTGCAGCAGGGCTGAGAGATGATGGGTGAAACGCCAAGGCAGCCTGAGGCCGGAGTCTGTCCGGCAAACTTGCGTTCCTTCCTGCTCCTTTCACCGCTTCCCCGCTCCGGAAGCTGACTGGTTGGGTTTGCTGTTTCTTAGTGTTTTGTTTGAGGGATTTCGTTATGTTTGATTAAAACCCCTCTGTGTGAAGTTGTTGAAAGCTCTGCCTGAGGCACTGCAAGGTCGGGTTTCGTAGTTTAAGGTCATGTTTCTGGTGTGGGTGACTTGAGCTTGTGTGAAGCTCGATCTCCGTGTAATTCCAAAGATAAGGTGTTGCTGGAGCGGCATCCCATGCACCTTCCAAAGATGGTGTGAGATTTCTCCCCTAATCCCCAACTTTTCTGCTGACGTTCTAATGGTGCCAACACGTCCGTCCCAAAGCGGCGCTGTCCCACTGCGTCCAGCTGCTCCACTCTCGACCAAGACGGAGCTGGTCAGGTCCTCGCGCTGGCACTGCCCGTCTGGGAGCAGCAATTCCCCTTTGTTCCGGGTTTTTGCAGTAGGATTTTCTGATGATCCTGATTGCTGACTCTGCTGGAGTTTTCTTTGGGACTTCCCTCTTTTTTCTTCTTCCTTTTTTTCCCCCAGTAGGTCTGCATAGTTAACCCTGCGTCCCTTTGCTGGACAGGTTTCTTCTCCTGGCCTTTCAGGAATACCTTTTGGAAAATGTGAGCTTTTTTGGGCAGTTTTTACGAAGCAGCAGGTCTTGCTCTCCAGGCGTGCTGCGAGTGGGGCTGGTGGGATGGGGAGGGATGTGACCAGTGAGCTGCCCGGGGTCGGGCATGTCCCTTTGGAGCCCGGAGCTGCAGCCCAGGCAATGGATAACGAGTTGCTCATGCCCTGTAAATCCTGGTGTTACCGCAAAACAACTTGTAGACGTTGTGTCGAGAGGGAAGGAGGTTTGTCAGAGCCACACGAGAGCCCTAGAAGCACTCTGTGGAACATGCAGTAGTTCCATGTGACGGCCAGGGTGGTCGGGGAGGGTGGCCCGTAGGGAGGCACCGACCGTTGGGGTCTGGGTCTGGGTGCACATACTGGTAAAGGATGTTTTTCCCCCGTTTATTTGGGTTCTGACTGTAAGCAAGCAGCACAGCTCAGACATGCTCGATCAGGTCTCTGTATTTGTGCTGCTGTGGATATTTACTCCACATTATTTATGGAAATACGGCATTCGCTTGGAAACGCTGCAGAGCGCCCTTCGGAGTTGCTGAGTGCTGTTTTCGGAGTCAGGGAAGAGAGGGACTGGTTTTGTCTCTTTCTTTCGTTCTTTTTTTTGTTCCCCACAGTGCCCTGCTAGAACAATTAGCTTGCCTGAAGTTAATATTCCTTTTGAGTGCAAGCTTCCCCAGTCAAGGAAAGCGAGCGGTGTGCCCCTTGCCATCAAGGATGACTGGAGCTGTGCCTTTCCGTGCGAAGGCAGCTAATCTCAGGCGTGCAAACAGGGTTTGTTTAGCGGCGTTCCAGCGCTCGGAAGCACTGCCGTTTGAAATCCCGTGGGAATTCAGATGTGCTGGCTGCTAATCGCTTCTCCACCTGCTCGTCCGTCTCCCACATCCCAGAATCTGCTTACTGGTGTCAGTCCCTGGAGACTGATGGTGACACATGCAGCCGCTGTTTGCCAGCTCCAGTCCCAGCCTGCGCTCTCAGCGCCCGGGTTGGCGCTGCCTGCCCACGGGCAGTGCCTGGCAGTTTTACCGTCATCGGGACCCAGCGTTCCTTTTGTGCTCGGAGTCTTGCGTGGAGCTGCGCTGAGTGTGGGAGCTCGACCGGACTCTGTCTTCCAACCAAATGAACGAGCTGGCTGAAATACTGAGCTACGATCAGCATCCTGCCGTGTTTCTTGTGCAGTGCGCAGGTAAAGTGTGGGGTTTCTGTGCTTTTCCCAAAAGTGCATTTCCCCAGTGATGTTTGATTGGTGGTGTTGGCGGGTAGGGCTGTATAAGAGTTGGCAGAAGTAACTCTCAGAAGTCCGCTGGTCTCGTCAGCGTGCCAGCTTCTGGATCAAACTGGTGATTATAAAGCTCCGACCATGACACCTAAGCCAGGAGTACGGTAGCAAAGCGTGCACAAGCCCAACAGGAGCCTTTGAACCTGGGAAATAATCTCAGCAAGCAAATGGTTGGTGTCAAAATGTAACTTCCAAGCCTCAGTGTCTTCTCTGCTTTTCCTTCCTTGCTGTTTTTTTCTCTGTGCTTTCCCATGGGTTACTGCAGATGCCGTCTGCGTTGGTTTCTGCTAAAGGGCGTTTCTTTAGAGCTTAAAACCAGTGCTGTGTAGTCAGGTGGCAGGTCGTATCCTGGGGCCCAGTTTATTTCTGAACGTGCGGAAGAGAAAAGGGGCCCCTGTTCAGGCTGGGCAATACTTTTTCATGTATTTGCCAATGTTGGCAAGAGGTAAATCCGTATTTATAGCAAAGTCTGGGTCAGCCCATTTCTGGAGTTCCTCTCGATGAGCAGATCAGTGAGCGGGCACAATCTACGCGGGCTCTAAGGGTGAGATTAACATGCTTTGAGGTGTGCGAAGGTGTCAGAGTGCCCGTTACTGGTTGTTTTTCCTTTGAGCTACGGGGCAGAGGTTTGTGTCCCGGCTTCTGCTTCGTAGCAACTAGTTGGATGTCAAGAACACCGTCTGAGTGTCCGACGGGCAGCAGTGGTGGCCGCTGTCGGAGCGAGTGGGTCCCTCGGGCCCTGGTGAGCTGCTTCCCGTGCCCCTCAAGCAGCGTGAGGCTGCGGGCACAGCTCTGTCCTTCTTTGCCTGAACGTTAGTGAACCCAGCAGGGCAGATTTTGCAGAAATCCCGCAGCGGAAGCCCCGTGGGGCTCCCATTTCCTGGTACAGCGGTAGGAGCCTGGCACAAACCCGCGTTTCGGGCAGCCAGAACGTTCAGCGCTCGGTGGAGGAGCGATCTGTGAAATGGTGCTTCTCCCCTCGCGTTGCTCACTGTTGCTGGTTGCTTTTTCTTTTCACTGGTCATTAAGGCAAACCACCCAGCTCTGTTAGCAGGGACTGGTGGCTGGAAAATGAAGTCCTGTCCAGGGTCTGGCACGGGACCCGGCGAGGGTAGATACTTCCCTTGATTTATGCCTGGAACATTGAGATCTTTCCTCTCTCTGTCCAGGCCCTTTCTAAACGTGTGCTGTGAAAGCCACAGCCATATTTAGCATCAGCACAGGCCCGAATCCCGAATCCGAACCGACCCGCGGGACAGGCAGGGCTGGGCATCCTCGGTGCTGTTTTGGAGAGCAGGAGATCGCCGCGTGCCTTCCCGTGAGACACAGCTCAGCATCTTTTTCCAGAGGTGAAAACCACCTGCAGCAGCCAGCTGCTGTGTGAGAGGGCATCCTGATGGGCATTTTCTGCTCATCTTTAAGCATCTTCACCTTTTCCCCATATCTGATCCATTTTTCTAGTGAGGAATCTTCTAGTCCAGGTCAATTTCTTTCTTTTTTTTTTTTTTATTTTATAATTTTTAGTCACTGCATTATGGCAGCTCCTGGTATCTTGCTCCTAAAAATTCACTCTTCTGAAAATCCCTGGTGATACATCCTGGATGTGCTTGGAGGTGAAGGGCATGCTAATGCCTGTGCCATGTGTGGCGCTCTAGAAATGCTGATATTGGTCTGACACTGAAAACCCTAATTTTTCTCCTCCTCCCTGCCCTTACCTCCTGCACAGCATTTCACTGCAAATGCAGGAATCTGCAGATTTCTGCCTTTCCCGGCTGGCTGCAGAGCCTCAGTAAAACTGCGTGAAAGCCTGAGGCTTGCTCCTGTGCTGGTGGTCCCTTCCTGAGCAGACCTGCTCAAAATAGCCAAGGATGCTTCGTTGAGGTCAGCATGAAGGAAAAGTGCTCGTGCCTCATGGTCGCACCGCCTGATTCTGTCGGCTTTTCTCCCGCGCTGTGCCCGGGAGAGCAGCTTTCCTGCAGCTTCAGCTTCCTTCTGTGCCCGTTCTTTGCACAGGGTGGGATGCGGCTGGAGCTCGAGCTGAAGGGCAGTTGGCTGAGATGATGGAAGAGAGGCAGTGGGCTCTGAAGGTGGCTGCTGGCCGTGGCTTCTGACAGTCGTAGGGTGGAAAATCCGACGTAAGGAGGGGTTCCTTACTCTAAAGTGCATTGGGAATCTTCTCTCTAGCGCTGTTTCTGGCCAACACTACCCAGAAAATACGTTCACTTTTGCTTGCGGCTTGTGAGGGAGCTGCTCGGGTTCCAGCCTGTGCCTGCAAGGAAAAATATGTTGCGGTTTGTGATCTCATCAACTTCCATTTTCTGTAACTTCTGAATATTTGTGACTTGTGGAATTCCAGTCTGAGGCTGTGCGCTTCTCTTCCAGAGCGCTTGTACCGTGTGCTCTGCGTGCCGTGGTAAGTGTTTAAAACCAAGAAAGTCCTGCTCTGCCTTTTGGAGAGGTTTAGGCGCTGTGGAGGAGCGTAGCAAACGGGCAGGGCAGTGCTAAACCAGCTCCTGTGTTGGGAAAAAATTGGCTTGGATGAAAAAAAGCTGTAAATTGGAATGAAGTTTCACAGCAGACACACAAACTTCCCTCCTTTCCTCCTGCAGTTTGGTAATGTTTTTGGACACAAAGCGTGATTTGAAGCCATCGAATCCTCTTTAAATCTTACATCCTGATGCAGGGAATCACAGGAAGGAATCCCTTCTGCCTCGGCACTGCCTCAGAACGCATCGTTGGCACGCGAGGTGTCCGTTGGGAAGAAGGCTACAGGAAAGTCAACTGCTTGTTCTGGAAATCTGGCAGCAATATAATAATTTTGGGGTTTGCTCATGCTCTCGTGTGCCGGCGTGGCTTTTTAAGGATTGCTCTGTAAGGCATGAGCGTTGTTATGTGGCTTCAGGTCGAAAACAAACCCAAATCCTCCTGTGGGAACAAATCGAGGGGTTTAGCTCTGACCTTTTTACTGATCTTGGTGTGGCCTCTCAAAAGGGGTGACCTGAGCCATGGCTCGAGGAGACAGTGAGCCCAGGTCTGGATTGCTGGTGCCTTAATCACGCCCGTTGTGGGCACCTTTGGGCATTAATCTGACACCACGAATTTGTACCAGCACAAAAAAATATTGCTGCATTCACGTCTAGGGATCATGTGTTGCGTCTGTCAGAGATCATATCTGGTTACGTTTAATGGAGAGCCCATAAATAATAAATTTTCTGGAAGTGGGATATTCGTGAAGTGGCTGGAGCAAGTCCACAGTCTGTCCTCCAGCAGCGTCTCTGGTTGTCTTTGAGGCTTTCGCTGGGTTTTGCCCACGTCTCTCGCAGGTCGTGCGTGCCCGTTGGTGGTGAGAAGTGCATTTGTTGATGTAATGCCGAGCCGAACGCATCCTCGTCCTTCAGGCAGTCGTTGACCTCACACTGGGCTTCACTTGGCTTCTCCCAAAAAGTGCTCCACTGAACTTTAAATGGTGTCACTGTCACCCCTGGGCAGCTCCTGTGATGAGAATGCCCCCACCTCGGGGAGGAATGGCCCCGTGCTCCAGTGCATGCTGGGGACAAGCTGCTGGGAAGCACCTTTGTAGAGAAGGTCTTGCAGAGCTCTGGTTCTTTGTTCTCATCCAAAATTAGAAAACTGAAGAAGCAATGCCCCGTTTCTGTTCTCCCTGTTTCTTCGCTGGGCACGACCTCTCTCTATTTTTTCCTGCTTAGAAATGGTCTCTTGTGGTCTTACAGAAACCTCCAAACAGCATTTCCTCAAATGTGTCTTTTTTGATAACCCAAAGTGTTCATTCCTTTACACGTGTCTCATTCAGATGCCTCTTGTGTCAAAAAAACTTACTCCTTTCCCCACTTCCACCGTGTCAACTACGACGTCAGCAAGCGCTGTTCCTCTGTGACTTTTATTTCTTCCCTGAGTTTTCCTATAAATCTTTTGATGTTCATTACTGGGCGACTAGGACCATCTAGGGAGATCCTGTAACTGTTTAAGCAACCAGTTGGCTGTAGTAGGATGATGCTGGGAAGCAGCACTGGGCTTCAGGGCTGTTACAGACACCTGGAACTGCACTCAGGGTGCTCACAGGAGAGGAGATGGGAGCAGAGACCGAAATCCAGGTTTCCTGCTCCCCGTGGTGGCTGTTCTGGTTCCCCACTTGAGTTTCTCTCCTGGTGGAGAGGAACTTGGGCTCGACACTGAAATAACTTGTCCTGTGTTGGGATGGGCGTGTTTGGGAATGGGGCCTCTTGAGTTCCCAAACATGAAATCCTGTGCAACACGGGGAGATGCAGCCCTGGTTTAGGATATCTGGTTTGTGGGGGTGTTGGGGTTAGTGTCTGAGAGGAACGTTTGAAGTGGTGTCAGTGTGACGTTAAGATCGGGCGTCGCTGGGGACGGCAAGCAGGAGGCACAGCTCCTCCACCTGGGACCGGGCATTTCTCTTTCTACTGTGATCCTGGAGCATCGTGAACCAGTTGAAGGAAAGTCTCTGAGTGTATTTTGCTCTTTCAGGCTTAAACCATCTGTCCTTCGCTCCCGCCAGCAACGACAAGTCTCTGCAGTTGGGCAGCGCTGCTGGCCCGCGGGTGTCGGAGAGCCCGGCCGAGAATGGCAGCGACCCGGGCAAGAAGAGGAAGCGAGCAGACGTTCCTCCAGGTGAGCCGAGTAGCTGCTCGGTGCCTGGCAGCAGCGAAGGCATCCACGTGGGTGCAGACCGAAAGCAACTGCGAGGGCAAGGTGTTAACGCGGAGAGGGGGGCAGGTACCAGTGGTGCTCTGGTACTGCTGGCAGTCAGACTGGTGTTCGTGGCTCCGTGCGTGGCTTTGGGTGAGTGGTCATGGCTGGTTCTGTGTGAAACAAGAGCAGCTTTTGCAGGTTTGGGTTTTTTTTGTTAAGCTTTGTGGAATCTCTACACCGGTCCCAATAGATTTATGCAGGAGATGGGTCAGTGTGGAGGGAGACTTCTCACCAGGGGTGCAGAGGTGGCATCTCGGGAAGGTGAACTGATCTCACGTCCCCTGTCTGAAGCTAAGGGGAGAGGAGTGGTGGAACGGGCTGGGAAATGGAAATACTGAATCATTAGCTCGCAGGGTGAGATAAATGGTCAATAAATTTCCTCCTGCTGACATGTTCTGGAGAGCTTTGGGAGTCCCTGCACTGATCCGGGCAGCAGTCTCAAGCTCTGTCGTTCCCCTCAGCAGAAGAATGCCCTGGGCACTGGCTGTTGGCTTTTTGAACGGGATGGGTCCTTCTGTGTGTTTTCCACAAGAAAAAAAATTTCTGTTGGAATTGTGTTTTGGGTTTGTGGATTTTTTTTTTCTTTCCTGTGCAGTTAACCTTGTGCTAAGTGGTTTTTTTTTTTCCTTTTTGAAGTCAGATATGTTTGCGTTTGGGCACCTCTAGCTAAAACCTGTGCAAACAAAAAGAACAAGCGTGTGTCTCGGTGGTACGTGGAAGTAACCATGTAAGGGCATGGGTTGACCCAGCTAAATCACTGAAGAAGTTTCAAATGCTTAATTAAGCCACATGTTTGTGTGATGTTCGTGGCTCCACCTGGCTTGCAGATAACTCTGCCAGACCCTGAGTAAATAGCACTGGTGCTGCTGCCGTCAGCAGCACGATGTTGTTCTTTGCTTCATTAAGAGAAACGTCTTCAGAATGGCAGTGGAAGTTCTCTCTGCTGGAACAGACTGGCCATCTCTGTTAAATTCAGTGCCATTATGGCAATTGATACCTGCTGCATGTTTGTCCTTTGTTCATAAATCTCTTGGGAGGAATCAAAGCGTTCCCCTTACCTTTAACCTGTGTTCCTTTAAGGCCCCTGAGGGCTGTTGATTGTAGTGGATAAATCTTGGTTTAGATGCTCTTGGAAGGCAGTGTTTTCATAGACCTTGCTTCTCTAAAATGTTGTCTGCTCAAGACAGACAGAACTGGGTTATTTTTTGTGGTGTGGTGGTTTTTTTTTTTCATTTGGCTCTTTCCTATGTGTTAGGTTCAGATCTGGTTTTGGATGCTGCTACTGCAGAGCCTTGCTGGGCAGCGTGTGCCCTGCAGAAGAGTTAAGATACACACTAAGCTCTTAATCACTTTTTTCCTCTCAGCAGATGGTGGCAGAAATCTAAGCCTTGACTCCATTCCGATGGGCTTGCCAATGTCAGATCCAACTGCGTGGGCCACCGCGATGAACAATCTGGGGATGGCTCCCATGGGGATGACAGGACAGCCCCTCCTGCCTGGTATGTGAGCTTATCCAGGCCGTGCCCACCTTTTCTTTCAAAACATGTCTTTGGGAAGAAGCGATTTCAGTTGAGTTAGATAAATGCCTACTGCATACGCAAACACTAATAACCTGTGTTTGAAATGCATTGACGTTTGCGAGTGATTTATTTAGAGGCCAGTGGTTTATGATTGGTTTCAGAGGAAATGAGGATATGTGTTTTTTGATGCAAACAATGGTTATTGTGGGGTACCTCCAGATACTCTGCAGTGGACAAGCAGGAGGAGGGTCCCACGCAGAGTTCAGGAAACCAGTGATATTGGGTAACTGAACTGGAACTGCTTAAAAGGAAGAGGGGGAGGGAGATAAAGGAAAGCAGTAGGGCAGTAAAATGAATATGGCAGAAATTAATGGGTAATTCTGCTCCAGAAATGTCCACCTTGTGGTCCAGAGTACCTGTGCGTGGGTGGGTCACCCTATCCAGGATTTGTTACAGAGCTCCTGTAGGAACAGAGTGCCCGACATCCGTATTTCACAGTTGGCTACAGGAAGATTTCTTGTGCCTTCCTCTGAAACGCCTGTTTCCTGGCCGAGGATTTGCCTCGGATCTGTTTTACTGTGACCCTGTGTGTGACACTGAACGAACAGCGGCACTTGCACCGCGTGCAAGGAAATCCGAATTAGCCAAGTGGCACAACCTGCCTAAACTGTGCACAAGCGTAGCCCCAGGTGAATTATTTCAAAATACAAAGGAAAACAAAACTCATCTACCGAACTCAAGCATCCAATCTGGGCACTGAAGGTTGTCTGGCTCCAGATCACTGTAAGGAGCGGTTGTGAAGAGAGGAATACAAAGGTATTGGTGTGCCTTGGGGATACGAGTGGCATCATCTGAAATGATGCCAGCCTGGGATCAAAGGAAGATGCTGCCTCTGCGCCACTCGCTTCTGTCCGTCTGTGCCCTGCAAAATTAATTCTGCCCGTCCGCATCTGAAGCGAGCGGCCGGATTCAGAGGCTCTGTAGGGCTCGGGGTTGCGTGTTCCGTGGTGGCGTCCCGTGGCACTGGGGCATTGCCTGGCTCTTCGGAGCTGCTGCAGAGAGCAGGGGTGGTGGAGGGTAGAGATGTTGTGCGCTTGCGGGAGGGGGTTCGTGCTGAGATCTCGCCTCGACAGCACCAGCTGGCCCTGCTGGTGCCAGTGGTCCTTACGGCTTAGCTGCTGGCATCCTCTGCCTCACGAGCCTTCTCATAAGCCATCCAGGCATGCTGTTTCCATTTTGGTTGCCTACAGGTTTTGCTTCCCCGAGGTTTTTGGCTTCTGGACAGATGAACCACCGCTCCTTTGACAGATCTATTAAGTTTTTTTTTGGCATTAGAGGCAAATCTAAGAGCAAAATCAAAGTAAAATGCTGCTTAGGTATAGTCAGAGTGCTACCTACAGCCTAGAAACGAGTTAAGCAGGATAAGGCATGCAGCAAGGTGTTTCCTGAAATGCTTCTGTGTGTTTTACCCAGAGTTACTCTGGCACGTCCATAGCTGCTGAAATTGGTACACTTGCCTAGTGCAAGGTGATGCCCTTGACCCTGTGCCACAAGCTGTCTGCACTGCTGAACTACATAATGAAACCGAGCTGGGTTGGGTTTTACTCTGTTTCCATATGCCACGGATTTCTTCATGTGGATAAACCTTACTGGGGGTGTTTTTGACACTAGATGGGAGATGGTGTCTACAGAGTGGAAAAGGAAGTAGTTTATTTGAACAGAGGAAATTTATTTGGCTGAGGCAATCAACAATGAGGTAGTTTTTTAAAAAGTGGTTTTAAGGGCACAAATCTAAAGTTCTAGTGAGTTGTGTTGTGATGTTCCCTCTCTGGTGTTGTTTATTCAGCTGATCTTCTCTGGCACACATGGGGAGAGTACTCTGTGTGCCATCTGAATAAACAGTTACTGTGAGCCCATACCACTACCTGACTCTCTTATTCTCCTCCCTGTTTAGATTTTGATCCTGCTCTTGGGATGATGACTGGAATCCCTCCAATCAACCCCATGATGCCGGGCTTGGGGATAGTCCCACCTCCCATCCCTCCGGACATGCCTGCTGTGAAGGAGATCATTCACTGCAAAAGCTGCACTCTCTTCCCACCGAACCCACGTAACCATCTATTTATGTTTTGTCATGTTTCTGCCTGTATGGGAGTGTGGAAGGCTTTGGGCTCCTGAGATCTTTTGCTTGAAACAGGCTGGTAGATGTGCTCGTTCTCATGTAGCACCTCAGCAATGCCATAGACCTGCTTGGTAAAGTCGAGCGCGCCGTAGCGAGGTGTGTGTTGGGAGGAAGCTGGGAAGGGGAGGTGGGAAGGTAAAAGGAATGTGTGTTGACAAACCCGGCTGACCTGCTCTGCTTTCTCTCTTGTTGTTTTTTTCAGATCTTCCCCCTCCAGCAACAAGAGAGAGGCCCCCAGGATGCAAGACGGTGTTTGTTGGAGGGCTGCCAGAAAACGGGACCGAGCAGATCATCATGGAGGTGTTTGAGCAGTGTGGGGAAGTCATAGCTATTCGGAAGAGTAAGAAGCATTTCTGTCATATCCGCTTCGCTGAGGAGTTCATGGTGGACAAGGCACTGTATCTTTCTGGTAGGTGTATTTCTGCCTCAGATTGCAGCCCAAAATTCTGGGGCAGGGGTGTAATGACTTCTTAATAGTTGTCATGACAGGCTTAGTTGCAATTGGAAGATTTGTGTTGTGCCAGTTCACCTCTTTTTCTGCTGCTATTGCATTTCTGCTTAAATATGAGAAAACAGCTCCTGGTAGGAAGGATAGCAATGCTTCGTTACCTTGGGTACCGCAGAGCTCTACAAAATACTGGGATGAGGTACGATCAGAGGCAATCTCCATCTTACCTGGATAAATGTCCAGCAGATGCTGTAGATAATGCTTAAGGGTCCTACAAAAATTGGCAGTTGTTAATTGGATAGTGTGCTTGACTTTCATCAATTTTTTTTCCCCTGTTATTCATCGGAGCTGAAACACCTGAGCTGCTTTTGCCTTGGGAGCCCCTGTTCTGCATCTGTGGGGTTTTAAGAGGTTTGTTTTGTGGGGGACAGAGACCTGTCCAGCAGATGCTGTAGATAATGCTTAAGGGTCCTACAAAAATTGGCAGTTGTTAATTGGATAGTGTGCTTGACTTTCATCAATTTTTTTTCCCCTGTTATTCATCGGAGCTGAAACACCTGAGCTGCTTTTGCCTTGGGAGCCCCTGTTCTGCATCTGTGGGGTTTTAAGAGGTTTGTTTTGTGGGGGACAGAGACCTCACGGCTGGTGTTTGCAGACTGAGCGTTTCCAGCCAAGCCTGCCTTTGCTGTGCTGGTTACATCTGCCCTGAGCAGCCTGGGCTCCCCACCTGACTCTGCCATCTACCATTCTAGAAAAACACAGTAATACTTTGTATTTCCGTGCTAAAATCCTCCAAAGCCCACGCTCTCTGCAGAGAGATGAGATTGTTGAGATAAGTGAGGAAAACACTCTCTGCTGTTTAAAATAGTGGGAACTTTTCTGTAGCCTGTTCTGAGCGACCGAGCATTGCTTCTCGCTAACATTGAGTTGGGCTGGCAGTGCCCCCTTAGCAAGAGCTGTGTCTGCAGTGACCCCTTGCACAGCCAGTACAGCCCCTGTAGCTGTAGGTGTTCTCTGCGTATGGTCCCTCCTGCCCGAAGCCGTGGTCATGTGCAGAGCCGTCGGTGTCCTCCACACGCAAACCTTGTTTCTGGGATGTTCTTTGCACAAAGTCTCTCCGTAGTTCAGACTTTGTTCCAGGCACCCTGCCTGTGCTTCTCTGGTCACGGCGGAGAGCCCTCTGGCGTGTTTGATGGGAAACTCCAGAAAAGGAGTCCTGCAAACCGTGCTGGTGAGAAGAGTTCCCAGACAGTGGACGTGCACGTTTGCTGACCTTATTCCCACTCCCATCAGATGATGGGGGCTGTTCCAAAGGTTACCACCATCCGTCTACTGCCCTCCTGGCTGGGTCTCTCTTCTCATTCCCCCCTTCCCATCCCCAGCTGCTGGAGTTTGTGAAAGTGTGGAAGCAGCCGAGGCAGCTCTGCCTTCCCCTTGTGCACAGCTGGGCTTAGTCCCACAGCCCGAGAGGTTATGTGCAATTCAACAGTTGCTATTTGAGACCCGATACGTGCTGGTGTTTAGAGGAGCAGCAGCCCACGTGAGACCTCGCCTAGCACGTGCAAAACACAGGCAGATGGCAGCAAACCCCCTGACGATGGTTCCTTTTCCAGCGTCGCTCTCTGTGCACTAAACTGTCTGGTAAACCCTCCTGTTCAGGGGCTTTCTGGCTCTGTAGGAATGAGAGGTGGGCACTGGTGGGTGGTTGGAGCCGGAGGTAAGTCACCTGTCCTGTCTGAGCACTGTCATCATGCCAGGCTATCGCATCCGGCTGGGCTCCAGCACTGACAAGAAGGATACCGGGCGCCTGCACGTGGATTTTGCCCAGGCTCGGGATGATCTGTACGAGTGGGAGTGTAAGCAGCGGATGCTGGCGAGGGAGGAGCGCCATCGCAGGAGGCTGGAAGAGGAGCGCTTCCGCCCGCCCTCCCCACCTCCTGTCGTGCATTACTCCGACCACGAGTGCAGCGTTGTCGCTGAGAAGCTGAAAGGTCAGTGGTTCCGTGGGCTGCGGCCGCCCTCCTGCGCAGATGCTGGGCAGAGGTTTGTGTTCTCCAGCGGCCGTCCTGCCCAGCTGGGGTGATGGTGCCGTTAGACCTGGCAGAGCCCGTTTGAGACTGAGCCCTCAGCCCACGCGCAGCAGCTCTCCCACCCACCTCTCTTTCACAATTGTCTTTTTGTAAAAACAGACCCAAACTTGAGTACGACAGTTTCTTCCAAATCATTTTTGTTCATGTTCAAAGGACTAGTGTAAGTCCTGAGACCTTCTTTGAAGCTTAAGACCCATGTGTGGCCTGACTTGGAGCTGGAGGATGTTTTCTGTCATGAGAGAGTACATCTGAACAGGCATGGGAAGTGTTCCAGTAGGCTTCTGGCAGTTGGTCCTCCTCTTGTCACGCCTTAACAGATGGTTTGGTCCATCAGCTTGATGTTAGACCTGCCTTCCTTTGTCTAGCCTGTATGCAGGTAACGCCGTGCTTCCAAGAACTGTGATAGCTGCCCGCAGTAAGGTGGCCTTTGAAAGAGAGCAGTGCCAGGGGAAGGATCCCAAAGCTGCGCAGGCAGCCCTGTGCTTCCGTGGTGTAAAGGTGTCTTTTCCTGACGCAGATGACACAAAGTTCTTGGAAGCCATACAGACCTTGCTGACCTGGATAGAGCGTGGAGAAGTGAACAGGAGGACTGCCAACAACTTCTACTCCATGATCCAGTCGGCCAACAGCCACATTCGCAGGCTGGTGAACGAGAAAGCGGCTCATGAGAAGGAGATGGAAGAAGCTAAAGAGAAGTTCAAACTTGCGCTCTCAGGGATTCTGGTTCAGTGTGAGTAGCGTTTCCGCGGTGGATGTTGGTTGTCTGTTGTTGTAGGGAAGATGCTTAATTCGTAGAGTCTGGAGAGGCCACACGAAAAGGGCTCCAGGAAAAGAAGTAGCAACTGCTTCTGTGCAGCTACAGTTAATTTGTAAGCAGAGGTCGTTAACTTGGCAAAAGTTTCTTGTTGTGCTTTTTATTGGAGCAAGAGTCCACATCAGAGGGAGGAGAGAAGGGATTCTCAATTTTTTTCCTCTTTTAATTATAGTCTGTTAGTAGTTCTGTCATCTTTTCAACTCCACGTCTGTGCACAGACAAGGTAAGTTCCTGGTGATCTGGTGCCTGAGCCAAGTGTAGAGGATTTATTCGCCAAAGGTAGGATCCAGCAGAGTGTTCCCAACGCCCTGTTCTCAGTCACTGGAACTGAAAACCAGTTACAGAACAGCATTTCCAACCTGGCTCTTTCAAATCCCAGTACTTTAATAAACTATGAAATCAAGGAAGAGGCATGGGCTGTATTTGTTCCAAGATGTGATTTATAACAGTTCCTCAAACAATTCATTGCCTCTTACACATCCTTTCTTTAGTAAGTCTGAATATTATTATTTTTCCCTTTTTTTTAGTACTTTTCAGAGTACCTTCTCCACAATTGTACTAAGTCTCCTTGAGCACCTTGACTAGGTTGCGAACATTCTTAACTTCTGGGTATATATTCAATAATTTTGACTGTTACTTGTTTGATACTTGATTTTATTTTTTTTTTTTAATTATAACTATTTTTTAAAAATTCTGTTCATGGTAAAAAAAATATGGGCACACGGTCCAGAGGGAAATACAGTAAGCACTGTGGAGTAAGTAGTAATAGCCAGTAGCATGCAACGCCACTCCATAAACCCCTGCTGGTATCTCAGCTGCTCTTAGGTTAATCTAAGTAGAAGAGAGTTGATTTTATTTTGCAAGAATTATGCCTACTACAACATCCCAATTTATTTTAAAAAAAAAAACAAAGACAAAAAAACCCAAACAAACAAAAAACCAACCAAACCAAAAAAGCCCAACCAAACAAAAGCCAAACCACACACACCCCAAACAAACAAACAAAAGATCGGGTAGATGTGCTTGCAGCTGTTGGGTGAGCTCTCGTCCCAGGAGAGAAACTTTGTACTTCCAAAAACCTTTGCAAATTTGCTAGAAAAATAGAAGGAATAAACCTCAGGAACAGGAGAGGTTGATGGCTGATGCTTTTCCATAGCCGCAGGGACGGGATGCGGTGGTGCTCGGGCTGTGGCACTGTTCCGTGGGATGGCACCTCCTGGGCAGAAGAGCACCCGAAGTGCCACCTTCCACGGTTGCACTCCACCACCCTGTTTCAGAGAGCCAGCGCCAGCTGGGCGTACCTGCTAGGCTCCCCGGCAGCGTTGCGCAGCGTATTTGGATATTTTTCAGCCCAACGTGTGCCAGCCTTTTTTCCCAGTTGAGAGCAGATGCCGTTCTCCCGGTTGACCGTTACTCTGTGAGCGTTTGACACTGTCCTGGAGAAGTCCACGCTTCTCCTTCCAGGCACAGAGTCCCTTTCCTGAGCGTAGCTTCAGCGCCGTACAGTGTTGTAAGAAAAGGTTAGCCAAACCACCTGCCTGATTCCACTTTTTTACTCCTTTACTCCTCTTGTTCGCCCTCTCTGGATGATATTTGGCTGCTGATTTGATACTACAGTCGAGCAGATAGTGGCCGTGTACCATTCTGCCTCCAAACAAAAGGCTTGGGACCATTTCACGAAAGCTCAGCGTAAGAACATCAGCGTGTGGTGCAAACAAGCAGAGGTTGGTAATTTTTTTTATTGTGTTAGATCCTCCAGCACGGTCTCTTGCTTGTCAGGATATTGATTTTAAGTTGGCGCGATGCTCGCGTGGGTGGCACCACCTTAACTCACAGCGTGAGGTGGGGATTGCTCGGTCGTCTCTCGTGTTGCAGGTAACGAATTTCCTCTTGGTGTTTGTGCTGCCAGTAGCGATACGGTGCCATCTGTGCGCCGGCTGACGTGGTGCACAGTGAGAATAATTATTGATCTGCCTTCTGCTGCTTTTAATGTTAAAGCAAGAGGGGTTTCTAGAGGGATGTTAAAAAAAATAAACAGCAAACCCGAAGTGTCAGCCGAGATCTGTTTTACCACGTTTTTATTGACAGACTTGAGAGGTGGAAATAATTGCAGCTGGCCAGTCTGGAAAACTTGGGGAGAGTGTTGTTGTGTTTGTGTGTTTGTCCCGTGCAGTGCCATTGCCAGGGAAATGCAGGGTTTGAAGGCGGCGACAAGGGGGGGTTGGCAGGAGAAGGCATGCCACTCCAACTGCCCTTCCTGCAGGAGGAAGAACAGTTCTCAGTCCCTTATCTGGTCTTACCAAATCTTACTGGATTCAGGCACAATGTCAGAAAAAATAAAGCTGAGGTAAAGACAGCCTGTCTGTTGGGAAGGTGGGTCAGTGGTGTTCCCAGGTGCCACGTTCCTTATTACAAACTCGGAAGACACGTCTGGCTCAGCAAAGCCAGAAGTCGCCTTTGACCTGTCAGAATATTTAACATTAAAAGTAGATCTGGGCAAAGCTGGCAGGCGTCACGGCCAGGCTGGCTGCGTGCAGGCCACCTGCCCGTGTAGCCACTGCCTGAGAAAAGTCTGGAGGGTTGGAGGCCGTCTGGGAAAAAGCAGATGATTGATCCTTCACAGTGTTGGAAAGCTCCAGATGATTCTGTTTTCCTGGGAGGTTTCCAGCTGTGATCTCCCCATGGGACTGCACTTTTGGGACTTTCTTTCCAAATCCCACTGGGTCAAACCTTTCACAGTAGCTGAAGGAGGAGCTGTTGTTTCGTTTTACACCTGATGAGCCAGATGGAGAGTCTGAGATAATGCCTCTGCTTTGAGCCCTAGTGCTCCTCTCCTCTCCTGCTTACTGAGATTGCTTACTATGGCTGGGGTGGGAGCACTCTCTCCATTGGAGCTGTCTTTTGTTCCAAGGTAAGTTCTCCCGATGGGAAGAGGCTGTGAGACCTCTGGTGAGACCTCTTCCAGGAGTACTTGCTGCTGGGCTCAGCCCGCTGGTCTCCCCCAGCTTAGGGTCTTCTCTTAAAGGAAGGTGGACCCACAAGATGCATCATCTTGGTACAGCTTTCGGCAGAATTTAATCCTGTTGGTCACCACGTTGGAGAAAGGCCCAGTAGGCAGCTCAGGGAGTGGGTCTGGGCTGGAGAGTTGTTAGGCCAGGCCAGGGGTTTGTTTTTATCAATGGTGGCTTAAGGTGGTCTTCCCAGGCAGGTCCTATAGCTGCAGGCAGCTCATGAAGAAGCTGTGGAATCTTGAGACCTGGTGAACCACCACCCCACCGTAGCTCCCAGCCAGCGTATTCCCTTGCTTAGGAAGGGTCTGGCTCAAGTATTTGACTTCTCTAAAGCTTTTCCTCTCCTCTCCAGGGCTCGTCCTTGGTCAGGGTGCTGGTGCACCGTGGCACAGCTGGCTGTGCAGCCCAGCCACGCCTGGCCCCGCTGCGTGCGTAGGTGGCCGTCAAACACTTTGCTACTTACTGCACTTCTAATAGTTGAGCTATAGCTGGAGTTATATATGTATTTCTCTCTATATAAATGTTACTAGTATGTCATGCGCTTTTAGGTGTAATGTAAAACGTCGCTTACCTCGTTACAGGTGTCAGATGCTGGGTAAGGGGTGTCTCAGCCTTGGGGGGTAACCTTGAGAGCTGTCCCTGCCCGGCCATACAGCCGAGCTCAAGGGGCTCCCAGGGGGCTGCACGTATTTATAGTGTCAAGTGATGGGCTCAAAGTCAAACCCCCTCTGGGGTATGTGCAGGGGTGCAGCTGTAGTGCTTTTAGTTTGGTCTGGTCCCAGCTCAGGCTGGCACCGTTGGCTCCTGAGAAGATACAGCCTGGCACAATTTCTGACGGTTTGCATGGCAGGGCTGACTTCGGTCAGGCATACGTGTTGGTGGTGGCTGAACCGAGGCACTGAGCAGGAGAGCGTGGGGCAGGAGCCTGGCAGGGAAAGGGCAGGGCATAAGGATGCCAGAGATGGGTAAGGGTGGCACAACCCTGAGGTGTGCAGGGCAGGGGCCAGCACTGGCAGTGGAGAGCTGCTGCTCCAGATGTGTGCTGTGAGCAAGGAGACCCGAGGTGGTGACCCAGGGTACGAGGGTGGGCAGTGCTGGGGGTAGCAGAGGCGTGTGGACGTCAGGCAGGGCAGATGAGGGGAGAGGGTTCACCGAGAAATACGCTGCGGGCACGGCTCGGTGTCTGCCCTGGGGCAAGGAGTAGAAGGGAGATGGAAGAGTCAGTAATACCAGTAGCATTGACTGACTCCTGCTGGATATTGTCCTTGATCTAATAGTCTGTGCCAGATTTTTTTTTTTTAGTCATTTCCCCTTGTATCATGGAGTTGCATTTTGCAGACTTAGATTTCAGCGTCTTTCGATCCAACCAGCCTGTTCCTTGTAATCTGTATTCAAAAACATCTCTACTTTCTGAACCTTAGGAAATTCGTAACATACATAATGATGAACTAATGGGTATTCGAAGAGAGGAGGAAATGGAAATGTCTGATGAAGAAATAGAAGATCCTTCAGAGATGAAAGAAACAGAAGAATCAGGTAAAATCACTTTTTACAGCTCATAAACAAAGTACTTGTCTCTTCAGTGGCTGGGAGCTACAGAGCAACTGTGTGCTGGGGGAGAGCACCCAGGGACTTCTTGCTCCTGATCCTTTGACTTTTGGTCTCTGCCTGCCGCGTTCTCCAGCGCTGGTGTCGCAGGTGGAAGCCCTGAAAGAAGAAAACGACAGTCTGCGCTGGCAGCTGGATGCCTACCGGAACGAGGTGGAGCTGCTGAAGCAGGAGCAAGGCAAAGCGAGCAGGGACGAGGACACAACCAAGGAGCAGCAGATGAAGCTTCTCCAGCAGGCTCTGCAGGGCATGCAGAAGGTGGGCCTGGGCTCTTCTCTAGCTACAGCCTTGCGACAGGGGCAAAGGGGCTGTCATGTGGAGCAGAAACACAAGCAAAGGCATTATGTTTTTCAGTGGGATCAAAACTGGCAAATGGGAGCAACTTTCTGTCACTTCCAGTGTTGCCAAAAAAACCCCAAACCACGCAACATTCTAAACAGTGATTGTGTGTGAGCTGATAAGTCACAGGGAAAGAATCCATAGCTTATGGATTCCTTGTGTGCCTTTTGCTTGACCACGCTGTGACTTTTGAAGCACTGAGTCTGTGCTTGCCCGCCCCGTAACCCTGTGAGATCCCGGTTACCAGCACGCTCTGTCCCATGTGCTGACCGTTTGTACGGCCAGAGCGTGAACCAGACTGGGGCAGAGGAAGAGTTGGCTTTCACGTGGGTCAGACCTGCAGCCTGGCACACAGCACATGCATTGTTCCAGGGACAGTGAAGGTTTGTTGAAGATGGAATGACTGCCCTGTGTTTATAAAGCCATGTTTTTTTTGTATGCTGATAGGCAAAGATGTTTCTAAGGCACGTTGTAGAAAGGATTTATTCTTCTTGTGTACTTAAGCCTTTTAGTAGTTCTGAATATGATCTGTCTGGTCTTCATGGAAAAGCCTTTACTCATTTTATTTTCTTTAAATAGTAGGAGGTGAAAGGCAGGTTAAGAGCTGATTTTATCTTTTCCTTTCCAGCATCTTCTGAAAGTACAAGATGAATGCAAAAAGAGAGAAGCTGAGCTAGAAAAAGTGAGAGAAGACAAACTAAAAATAGAAGCGTTATTAGAAAACCTGAAGGAGCAGGTATGTGCTGTCCCAGTGCGTCCTTGTTGTTCTCAGTAGTAAAAGCAGTCCCTGGATTTCATGGTCCATCATGAGCACAGCGAAGGACAGGGTGTGGAAGATGCCTGGCCCTGGCTTAGGAGCAGTTGGCTTTGGAAAGCAGGAAAATACTTCCTGCCAAATTGGAGGATGTACATCAGTAGTGAACTTGCTGATTGCTTCATGTACCAGTGAGACAACCTACATAAGCAACTGTATAAATAAAAGTTTGTCTCATTTTATAGCGTACAGCGATATTGCAGCTGAAATGTGTTTTTCTGCAACCTGGGCTTTAGAAGAGAAGAAAAAAGGGTCTCAATTATCTAACATTGATTTTTAGATTTGCGTTTTAGGGATGTGTTTTGTTCCAGCCTCCATAAACCACTATTGAATTGAAAGCTTTTGCCAGTTTTACAATATTCTTACGCTTGCTGGATTTGTTCTAAACATACATACGTACTGCTTGTTCTCAGGTGTGATATCCACTCTCTTTTGATTGTGGACCCATGCACGAATCTAAACTTCATCCTCTCCTCTATAGCACAGACACAATTATGCAGGATAGGCCAGAAACAGTACAAGCACTTCTCACTGAGGACCATAGGGCCACATGCCAGGTCTTGTCTCGGATTTTCCATCTTTGACCCCAGGTTTTCGTGCCATGAGCTAGGGAAGACAGTGAACGTCTTTCTAGTATCTGAAATGGCTTTGTGTCGCAGTAATCTTGAGTGCAGGAGCTTCAGTGCCTGAGCCCGAAGAACAGAAGTAACAGCCTCTCATCAGTAATCTTTCCTGTTCTTCACCTGTTCACAGCAGAGCATAGCAGACGAAGAGGACAAGGAGAGAGATGCAGCGGATTGCCAAGGGAATGTAAGTCTAAGAGTTTCTTCTCGGCTACTTGGAATATCTTATTGAGGGAAGTAATGACACGTCGTTGTGAAATGAGCAGTTTTTGGTGGGCTGTATAAGGGTGGCACAGACAGACTGTCTTTAGCTGCAAATCAAAATGATCAGGTTATCCCTTGCTAGCAGCTGCTGGCTGTAAGAACAGCAGGCGTTTGCAGCACTGAGGAGTAGAAAAGGGTTTTGCTGTGCAAGATAATCTGTTGCACTGTTGTTGCAACTGACCTTCAGAAATATCTGTCGGACCTCCAAGAGAAGGCAGTCAGTGTTTCCAGTATAACACTGCTGGCTGAGGGGCAGTCCCTGTGTCAGCCTGAAGCTGCCTCCGTCTCCACCCCGCAGACCTTTTCGTTCTCGCACTGCACTGGCGTAAGGAGCCAGCAAACCCGAGGGACCATTTAATTCTGTCTCTGTACTGGCCCGAGTCCAGTCCGTTTGACTAGTGACTGGAGGCTGTTTCCAATTATAGCTGTCTGTAGCTCTCACCACTGGAATTCCACAGAAAACTTAGGAATAATAGAAAGTCCTGCTTTTAGTGCACCCACCAAGTCTTTGCATCACTGGCAGTCTTGTGTTTATTTTGGGGGTAATAAATTATGCAAAATTCTGTTTTGCTTCAGTACCACAAACTGAAGTCAGGGACGGTCTGATCTTAAACCCTCGGCAGTTGTTGGGTCCTTGGTTAATCATATTGCCTTTGTTTAGACATCTGAAAAATAAACATCTGCATCTAAAAAATAAACATCTGCATCTGAATTAGTCACTGCAAGGCATTCCTTCTAGTCTGTTTTCCCTTTCATTATTGATAATAAGGCTCTTCTAGAGCAGCCTCTTACCAGTGACCAGGGCTGGTGGTGTGTTTTGTGGCATCTTGCTTGACTTCATGGGCTTTTGATCTGACGTGGTAATTCAGAGGCAGCAGCGTGGCTGTAACTGGGCTTTGTTGGAAGCGAAATGGGCAGTAGCTACAGCAGCACAGCCAGTGCAGTGACTCACAGAGACAGGAAAACAAAAACACAGACTGTGTGGAGTCTGACCGAGCTGCTGCTCCATGTGCAAGAGTGCCTGCTGTGCTGCTGGTGCCTGCACTGGTCCCTGTGGGTTGTTTTGCAGGAGAGCAGTGCGTCCAGAGTTTGTGTGTGCAGCCAGGAGAAGGAATGTCCAGTTGAGAAGACATTGAGCAACAGTCCTGTGAAATCTGAACGAGAAGTTCTGTTAGTTGGTAAGTTCTTTTGATGGGCTTGGTGACGATGCTGGAAGCCTGAACTGAGTGGGACTGACCTCAGGGTGGCCTCACAGCTCCCGCTGGCCGCCTCTTGTTCCTTTGGTTATGGAGGTGGGAGTCCTGGAACCAAGGAAACCCTCGAGCTTTGGTGGGGTGAGGGTTTCACCTTGTGCGTTGCTCACGTGGAAATCTTGTGCTGTGCACCTCTCAGTCAAACCCACACACATCTAAAGGGGCCTTTTGTGTGGTGACAGTCCGGGTCAGCACGTTCTGGAGTGCAGTTTGTCTTCTGGGAGGCATCACTGAGGGTAGTAAGTTACAGAGGAGGGTCTGTCTTCATTCGGTTAGAGCCTAATCAGCCTTGTGGGACCCTAAGCAGTGTCACAGGCTCTCGGACTTTAATCAGCTGGAGCGTTGCAGCACCTCACAGTGTGGATGATGTTTGTGGACCCACGCAGCAGGAAGGCACACCATTGGGTCAGGCATGGTGTGCCATGGACCACGAGCAGATTAAGCTCTTCCAACTCTAGAAGCTGTAGCCAGAGAGGAAGGGAGGATGGAGAAAGGTGGCAGGGAGAGAAGGCTGGGCTCAATGGAATGAGAAGTATTGCCAGAATTTCCAAGTGATGGCTCACAAAGGGATTGGTGATCTCTGATATACACCGCAGGTGTGTCTGCTACCCTTTTTATTTCCTTTCCCCTTGCCGATTTCCAGTAATATTGAAAAATAACCCAACGTGGCATGCTACGACATCAAAAATAAATCATTTATTGTTATCCAGATGGACCTGTTTGTGCCAGATCATGATTTCTGCATTGAGAAGGAAGGGACTTTGGGGCAGACCAAAGGCACAGCATTTTTCTGCAGATGGTGGTCAGAAATGCAAGTCACTCTGTTTGACACAGTCCTGGCCGTGAGCTGGAAAGGAGTCCCGTTGCGACAGGGTGCGACCTGGGAGGGTTCTGTTTAACTGAGTGCTGCCAAACCGTTGGGATGGGACACATGTGCTGCTGCTGCTGTCCCCGTTTGCCTTCTGTCTTTTCCTGCTCCCTGACCTTCGATGGTCCGGCTGGAGGAGAGGTCTGTTTCAAGCGCTGACCCACTGCGTTGGTTACCTGTTGTGTCCTTTGCAGCCCACGAGCCAAACCTCACTGTGCTTGAACCCTACACTGCCCAGTTAGATCCCTCTGTGCTGTGCCAGCAGTGGCAGAGGGCTGGTGTTCTCAGCTGGCTCTTGCCTCGTGGGAATGACATTTGTGGTGTTTCTTTCTCCAGGAATAATTTCAACGTTTCTCCACGTGCACCCGTTTGGAGCAAGCATAGAGTACATCTGTTCCTACCTGCAGCGTCTGGACAGCAAAGTAGGTGTCCCAACACTTCCAGTTCCCTGAGCCAGCCTGGGTGGGATGCTTGTGCCCCGAGGGTGTTTGGTCTGTGTGGCTGGTAAAGAGCTTCGCTCCCTCCCTGGGGACGGTGCGGGGCTGGGCAGTAAGAGCTGGTGTCTATTAACTGCAGTGGTTTGCTGGAAGAGGGCAAGGGAAGGGGTGAACTTTCTAAAAATCACAGAACCATTTGGGTTGGGATGGACCTTTGAAGATCATCTAGTCCACCCCTCTGCCAGCAGCAGGGGCATCTTTCACTAGATCAGGTTGCTCGAAACACCCCAGCTTCTAGCTTAGCCCTTTTACGGCTTAACATTACCCTAAGCAGAGGGTTGAAGGTGATGTTCTCACCGCAGGTGTTCCTGCGTATCCTGCCTGTCATTCAGGAAAATGCTGTGATGGTAGCTGTGTCTTGCAGCAGTGAATTCCATCGTTAAAATCTCCATCTAAAATGTATTTTTGTTTATTCTGATAAGTTGGCTGCCTTTGTTTCCATTATCCTTATGACCACCAAAGAAGAGAGCAAACAACCCGCCTCCTCCCTGCTGTTTATTATAACATCTGCCATGCCACTGTTTGGATAGATTCTCTCTAAACTGAACAGTCACATTGTTTTTGTGTCTCCGAGCACTTTTCCTCTATTTCTGGTCGTGTAGCCCTTCACTGAGCCTTTTCTGTCTCTGCTTTGATGCTGTCAGCGCAGTCATGTTCAGGAGGGCGCTGTGTGCTGCAGACGCACAAGCACTGAGCCCAGTCCCCGCTGACGGGGTCTGCGCTGGGGGAGGGTTGGAGGCCGGGGTGCAGGGGTCCGGAAGGGCAGCAGCAAGAGCAGTGCTCATGTGTCTTCCTTGGTACAAGAAGAAGCTGCTGTTTCCTGCGGTGTTTCTGTGCATCGCCGCCTTCGGACTCCTTATAACTGGGAGGAGGGACTTGAACTGGGGAGGGACTGTGCTGTGCAAAGGCTTTTGAAGGTTCAAGGAAACGGCATCTCCTCTGCTCTACTGTTCTTTGGTCGTCTTCCTTAACGTGCCCCGGGGCAGGAGACTTGCCAGCATGGGAATCGTCTCTTGCGAGTGGATCTCTCAGCTGCTTTTGTTTGTGACTTACTGTTTAATTTTCCCATTTCTAAGAAAGTGCCACTCGCTGGCCTGTGTGTTCAGGCTCACTTCAGCCCTTTAAAGGCATCTAGTAGTTTATCTTCTCGTTCTGAGTTTGTCTGAGGCGAACAACTGCCTTTGTTTTTCTTTGGAGCTTCTAAAGAAACGCCATCATGTCATTCCTCAGACTTCTGACACTTCCTTTTTGGGATCGACAGTGAGGAAAAGGTTTCTACAATAGGTGTAGTGGAAAAAAAGCCCTGTGAAAAGTGCATCCTTTAACCTCTGCAGCTTTTATTGTTGGCAAACGCGTCACCCTGCTGACTTGCACAGGTCTTTTGTGCCTGGTCGCTTGGAAGGAGGTCTTCCCCGTTGTTCTTCAGGTGACATCTCAGCTCTTTTGTCTCCTTCTTGGTTATTGCAGGTATTAGTTGGGGACATGGCTTTTAACGTCTAGCAGATATCTGGGCTTGAGGTGGGGTAGGAGTTGGGGGAGCACTTGAGAGCAGAACCTGGATTTTTGAAGCTGCCAGCAGGAAAGGAAGAAGAATGTTTCCCTGTTCCCTGCCCGTCAGTCTCACCAAAGTGGCCAGCAGACAGCGCAGCAGTTAAGGTGGGAGCTGGTTGGAAGCCATGAAGCAGTCCTTACAGAAGCTCTGCAGCACTGTGAGCGTCGCAGGTGCTGGGCAGTGTAGATGATGCACCTCCCGGGGTGTCCACTCCCTGTTTCGTGTCTTAGGTTGGACCTCTGCCTTACCAAGCCCATCGCCAGCCTGCGCTGCTGCTTTCTTTGTCTCTCAAAAGTTGGACCGTTGTTTGCGCTGACTGCAGAACAGCGCGGTGACGATAGCACATGGATCACCTGCAGATCCATCCTGCAAAGTGGCTGCTCTTGGTCTGTGTCACACCTTGGGCACGTTTTGAAAACTCGGGACCTGCAGTTGCTGCCGAAGGGCTTTCAGAGGAACGCACTCGCGCGCTGATGAAGGCTTAGCAGTGAACATACTTTCCATGTGTGTTGTCTTCCCGGTGGTAATGGGTGCTCTGCGCTCTTGGAAGTAGAAACCTTTTCTCCCTAGCGAAGTGCTAGCCGAAAACTAATTCGTGCTGGCGCACACAGAAAACAAGGGAATCAAAAGAACGATGCGACGCCTCTTTGAGAAGGTTGGAATCGAAGGTGAGTTTGGAAGGACGGTAGTGGAAGCACCTCAAGACCATCCTCTGGAAAATCCAGGTTTGTGTGTATCAGTGACCATGAAGTGGGATCAGGCTTGATGTTACAGAACAGGGAAACTGAATCCGCTGTGGCAGGAGTGAAAGTGAAACGTCATCAGGAGGAAGCGCCATGGGGGCGTGCGGTCGATAGATGCTTGGCGTGGAGCACAGCCCCTGGAAGTGCTGCAACCACGGAGCTGTGAAGGGAGTTAAAAATACAGCCGGTGGCTGCGGCAGACCAACAGAACGGGTAGGGAGGATGTCATGTTGAGGATGTCATGTTGTGCTGCGCTGTTGGAAAATAGCCATGTTTTTATCCAAAAATACACCCCAATGCTCTACCTAACCGGCAGGTGGTGAGGTTATCGTGCAGGGAGCTCTGAACGTGTGTCAGAGCAGTCCCAAATGCACAGCAGGGTCTTGAGTTCTTGTGAGTATCGCAAACAGGTTGTGAATGTAACAAACAGGTTTGAATTTTTCTGCTGCTGTCAGAAAACAGTTGCAGGTAATCGAATGTCAGGTAGGCACAGCCTTTGCCCTGTGTCTTGAAACTGTGAAATTGCAGCATCTTAAGAGTTTTTTCACATGCTGAACTTTAATTGTATCTAGTAAATGCCCGAGCAGTCAGACTCACAGGCCTGCCCGCCTCTGTGCCATTGACTGCTGGTGCAGATGGCGCAGCTGGTGCGTGTGGGGCAAAGATGCTGGCAGCCCTGTGCCCCGCTGGCAGCCCCGTGCCCCGCTGCAGCGCCTTTAGTTTCGGCTCTCCTGGGCACAGCGTTGAGGACACGCGTGACTCTGCCTGTGTTTTCAGAAGTGGGACTCAGCTGTGCGAGAAAACCGTGCAACACGTCGTGTTTCCTTCCGCTCACCGTGCTGCGAAAGCTCAACGCCGAGCGCACGGGCTGGGAACGTGGCACCGGTCACCTCCAACAGGGGCAGAGCGATGTCGTGGGGCTGCGCCAGCGCTCGGGTCCGGTTAGGGTGGGAAGGGAGTGGGTCGTTGTCCACCGTGGGTCACCAC